CAAGAACTGAATGCGACTTTATTACAGTTTTAGCCGTATTTAATCTCAATTGAATTTCATTCGATTTCAACTGATTTTAAAAGGAATGTTAATTAAATTTCAATTGATTCTAACAGGATTTTATTTAGATTTGACTTGATTTAAAAGGAATTTTACTTAAATTTCAATTGATTCTAACGGGATTTTGATTCGATTTCAATTGATTTTAAAAGGAATTTTAATTAAATTTCAATTGCTTCTAACGGGATTTTAATTCGATTTGAAGTGATTTTAAAAGGAATTTTAAATAAATTTCAATTGATTCTAACGGGATTTTAATTCGATTTGAATTGATTCTAACGGGATTTTAATTCGATTTGAATTGATTTTAAAAGGAATCTTAAATATATTTCAATTGATTCTAACGGGATTTTAATTCGATTTCAATTGATTTAAAAGGAATTTTAAATAAACTTTAATTGATTCTAACGGGATGTTAATTCGATTTTAATTGGTTTCAAAAGGAATTTTAAATATATTTCAATTGATTCTAACGGGATTTTAATTCGATTTTAATTGGTTTTAAAAGGAATTTTAAATAGATTTCAATTGATTCTAACGGGATTTTAATTCGATTTTAATTGATTTTAAAAGGAACTTTAATTAAACTTCAATTGATTCTAACGGGATTTTAATTCGATTTTAATTGGTGTTAAAAGGAATTTTAAGTATATTTCAATTGATTCTAACGGGATTTTAATTCGATTTTAATTGATTTTAAAAGGAATTTAAAGGCGGCCCTACCAAATCCTTTCAATAAATGTTCCCCCCTAATAATAAATAATTTTTGACCACCCGGAATATTTATTATTGGTGGGGGGGGACGTCGTTTATTATTAGGGGGAAGCGATTACTCCATGCTGCGTGAAGACATCAAGTTTGGCAGCTAAAGCAATCAAGCACAAGAGCAGTCTGGGTATGCAGTATGAGATTTGCAACATGTACAGCAACTTGTTGCAAACTTTGAGGCCGCTCAGATCGCGCATGCGCTCCATGCGCTCTGTGGTGCCTGAGTCCGTTTTGACACCCTCATCTGCAGCTTGAACGTGACGCATCCGCAGCATCCAAGACCTGAGGGGGCTTGCTGTCCTCACGACAGGAAGATCGAAGAGTCCGGGCGTGGTGGCGGTGGCGGCGGTGGCCGCGATCGCTCCAGAAGTCCCCCACGAACTGGTGGAGGTGGAGGAGGAGGAGGAGCGGTCAGGGCCTCTTGCTCTGTGAACATGATCTCAGAAGCACCCTGAGTGAATGAGGAGATTCCGCTTTTGACACGTTCTCATCATGATGGCTATCAGCTGTCCTAATTGGGCCCCATGCAGCAAGCTGGAGTGCGCAGTTTAATCTGAGAGACAAGAGCAGCTGTGGGTGGTCGGTTCAAGGGGTGAAAGCTTGATACCTTGCGCTGTCAGGAGGAGATGTCCGGGAAGGAGACTGGCCACCTGCCGCAATTTCATTGCTGGTTCGGCGTAATGCGATATACAAGGTTGAGTGACACAATGTGCAAGCGTCTTACTTTCTGAGTGTGCTGCTGAACAGAGGTTCCTTGCGTGCGTGTTCTTTTCAAGCCCCCTTTGAGTATTTGATTATTGTCTCCTGTCACTGGGGCAGCGACTCCACAAAGCGGTGCCCGTCCCGCGCCCACTGCAGCCAGATTGCCAGATCTGGCTGGTTGGAGCCTTTGTTTTCCAGTGAAATGTGAATAGGATGCAGGTTTGTGAGGGTCTGGCTTGCACAGCTTTTACTGTAATGTGTACTCTCACAGCATGCATCTCCGAGCTCTTTCACACTTCAGGCGACCTCGGTAACCGGCTGAGAAGCTCTTTCAGCTGACAAGGTATTGCAAGTCGTGTGGCGCCCACAACTTTGCCCGTCGCACTGAGTGCTTCAAGCTCCTTGGGCAGCAATAGCGTGGCAAAGCGGTGAGGTCGTTGCGCAGTTGTGTTTCGTTCTTAGGCATTAGACTG